ATAAAAATGAAAATACTTGTTATTAATGAAAAATTTATCCTACTAGGTCGTGTTTGTTCGGCTGATTGTTGAGCAAACAGACGATTATCGAAGTAGCGCTACATNTCATTCATTTAACTTGACAACTGTTAAATAAATACGACAGAAATGCAATTAGTTAACACCCGAAACTAATTAATAGACACGAAAATAACCAAAGAAATAAATTTATACAAACAATAGGCTCATCGTAACGTACAGTACAAGTACTTTGACCTTCCTCCTGACTTTTAAATAAGTTACTCAATTTTATCATACATAACTTTTATAGAAGATAAAAATGAAAATACTTGTTATTAATGAAAAATTTATCCTAGTAGGTCGTGTTTGTTCGGCTGATTGTTGAGCAAACAGACGATTATCGAAGTAGCGCTACATATATTATATATACAGTATAATACTATACAGTGTTAGGGAAAGTAACTAGGCATTGAGAAATCGCTATAATTTCTGTAATAATAATATAATCGTAATAATCTTTATGTGTTCATATATCACTATCAATGAACTTTTATAATTCTTGATGGATGCTGTAAGACACTGACTGAAAGTAGCTAATATGATGGTTCACCGCTTTGTCTGTACGGGAGCAAGCGCAGATTGTTGCACGCTATGAGATGCGAAAATCAGTGGTTGCTGTGAAGAGATGACGGCGTACGGTGAAGAGATGCCACCGTACAGAAGCAATCGATAATTGTCATTCGAAGCCAAAATGGCCACAGGTCTGGCAGAAAAGTGGCCGTTAATCCACGTTACGATCTGAGAAAAACGTGCTGTTGGTGTATGGCATCAGTACCTATATTGAATTATAAGACATGCACGTATATTTACGTGTAATAAGATACTCTACATTTCAAATAATTTTCACTACTTTTGCTTTAGAACTATAGAAATTATAACAATTTCTCAATGACTACTTATTTTCCACCCACACTACATATATAAAATTAATTGTATTTATTACAAAACAATTTCCTTTCAAATAAAAGAAATTCTACATCTGTCAATTTGGAGATAACGAAGTATACTAAAATTTAACATCTGTGAGCAGTGACGAACCCAGAGGGAGGCCAAGGGGTCCTGGCACCCCAAAGTAAAAGTAAAACAACACTTATAAATTTTCGTGAAGGCTTATTGTATTATATATATAATTACCCTTTTATTGTTTGCAAGCGTTAAAACGTTAATTAAAGGATTTAAACCAGCTTCGTAACTTTATAATGACAGCTTCTATTGTTAGAAAGTGACGTGTTTTCCTCCTTTCAAATGTTCTAATGCAGTAAACAGGTATCATTATGCCCACGAGTTGCGTTGCGGTATACAAATCTCTGTTACATTGTTACGTGATAATTGACGTCATACTTTACGCTTTTCGTTAATTATAGTGCATAAACCTATTACCACACAAATATCTGTTGACGTCACCTACTAATAGTTCTTACTTATGGTTCTTTTAACCTCACCTAATTGCCTTCAGTCAATGACGCAAACGTTTAAATATTTTCATTGACCAATGAAAGTTGCACATCAACTAAGTCTTATTTTCGTGTATTCAAACAGAAAATGACGAAAATTCCGAATAAAATGCTGTGGAAAACCAACTTTTAGTTTAAATCTCTCATCGATAATCTTGCGACCACAAATGTGATTCGTACTTACGTTGAAATTATGTGAGCCTTCAATCGTTTTAAGCACCGAAAAAAGTCGACGTCACTTACGAAAATGCTGTCACTTACATTTTTCTACTCTACGTGCAACAAAATGACATTAATCGACGCCATTTTGTTACAAAATTCAATAACCTGAGATTTGCAGATGACACAGTTATCATTGAAGAAAGTGAAAGAACAATTAGAGAAAACATTACATCTGCTTAATGAAGAAGGAAAAAAGATATGGATTGACTATTAATAGCGAAAAAACTAAGACAATGATATTTGGTGATAACAACATGACAAGAAACATCCTAGTAAATGGGAAAGAAATTGAAAATGTAGAAAGCTTTACATATTTAGGAAGCAAACTAACCTATAATTTGGATTGCAAAAAAGAAATAGAGATTAGAATAGCCAAGGCAAAAACAAATTTGAAAGCAATGGACAAAATCCGGAAAAGTAAAGCAATTAGTTTGCAGACAAAATTAAAAGTATTGAACACCTGCATCTTCCTCTGCATGCTTTATGCCTGTGAGACACGGGTAATAACAAAAGATATGGAAAGAAAAATAGTAGCATTTAAAAGACACTGTTACAGAAAGATCTTTCAAATAGGACGAATGCAGAAAGTCACAAACGAAGTACTTTATAATATGATATATATGAAAAAGAATCTCTTACAATAAATTATACAACGAAAACTTAACTGTTCGGACACATCACAAGAATGAATAAAAACAGAAAAATTAAGACTTTAGTCTATGGTATTATGGATGGATCCAACAAAAGAGGCAGACCATATAAAGAATGGATTGATGACGTGAAGAAGTGGTGTGGAGCAAATGTACAGGAATTGAGAAAATCGGCAATGGATAGAGAGAAATAGAAGAAAATAGTGGAAAAGGCGTCAGACACCAACGGGCAATGATCCCAGGTGATGATGATGATTTTGCTACACTTAAGAACTTAAATCCAGTTTTTTATATGTTAGATAACAGCAGAAGGCTTACTTTAACTAAATCAGAGTCAAAAGCACTGTAGTTTTTTTAGTATTGTATTGTGTTAAATTGTATATTTTATAACTCATTCATTTAACTTGACAACTGTTAAATAAATACGACAGAAATGCAATTAGTTAACACCCGAAACTAATTAATAGACACGAAAATAACCAAAGAAATAAATTTATACAAACAATAGGCTCATCGTAACGTACAGTACAAGTACTTTGACCTTCCTCCTGTTAAACACTATATCGAGGTCATAATCGTGTGTTCACGCTGCAACACTGGCACCATCTGGTGAGTGTAATGAAAACTATGTTTGTATACAGTATATCACGAAACGAGTTTTTCACGAAAAAAATATGTTAATGAACTTCTGCATTATCACCAGAATTATTTATTAAAACACTATACTTACTTTTAATTTCATTGTATATAATCAAATACCGTTTATCCGGATTGGTTTCAATAGTCGTTTCTCTTTTTAAATTTTTATATATTTTGTAAGAAAATTATTAATTTCTGCGGTGTTTGTCAGATCATTGAAACATTATTTAAGATCTTAAATACTGTATTTACTCGCTTATAAGACGATCTCGCATATAGAAGGAGGTGTGTGACTTTAAAGATCAAAATAAAGAAAGTTAGATTTATTAATACAATTCTAATTTTATTTCGTTTAATCACAAATAAAATATCAAATGCGCGTAAATACACGCATTAACCCACAGAAATGACTTGCATTTTAAACTTGAAGGAAAAATCTTGTAAAATCGACAACACAATTTCTTCGTGTAAAGCTGGACAATCGGAAACCTTTTATGCCAATTATTAACAGTCGAATCCACTCTCCGTCGATTACACTTATGACTTTCTCCGAATTCCGATTTCCAAATAATCATCTGTTTTCACGTGGGAATAGATTAAAACTTATATCGGGCTTCCGTGTGATTTTGGAATTCAATTCAAAAGCATTGCTCTTTTTATTGCTATTCATCTTTACTCCTGACATTACACAAGACTCAAATAAAATACTTTTTTTTAAACCGAGGGTGAGCATCCGATAAAAAATGCGAATACAGTTTACAAAAATTATTGGAAAAATGCAAAGAATCCTTCGCACGCGATCTAGGTTTTTGAAGCAGTGAAAAATGAATAAAAACCTCGTCTTATATGCGAGTAAATATGGTATGTACCGTATTTACTAGCAATCTGGTGTTTGCAAAGAGTGATTTTTATGTTCCTTCTTACTAGGTACTGTACAGTATTTTAAACACATACAGTGAATAGTAGTCATTTTCGTTTTAGTAGTTATATACGTATACTTTCAGTACTTTAGGGCAGTGTTTCTTAACAGGAGGCCGCGGCCCCCTGGTGATCCGTAAGAAGTTTGCCGGGGGGCCGCTAAATTACGCAAAATTTCCTTCAGAATATAATAAAAAAAAATTGACGTATAATCGAATGTCGTATTAGAAAAGTGAAATAAGAAAGATTGAGTTTTCGTATTTAGTTTTTTTTATTTATTTCTTATTTCTTCCTACGTACAACTTTGTTAGTACAGAAGAAATAAAATGTAAATATGCTACTGACACCGCACTATTCACTTCTTTTATTTCAAAGTAATTCTAAGAAACTATTAATGCTTGGAATTTTGGATACAAATTTGTGCAGAAAATCCTCCCCTGTTTTCAGCAGCAATGCAAAATTTGCTGCCTTTCGCAAGTACGTATTTTCGAATATTTTTTGTTTTTTCTATAAATTTTTAAATGTTTCTTTGTTTATTTTTTGTTAAAAATTAATGAGTTTTTATGTTATGTTAAGGAAAGAAAATTTCAATTTTCGTATATTTTCTACAATAAAATTACTCAAGATTGGTAAATTTAGGTGACTATAATCAAGAGTTTCAGTTTAGCTTTAATACAAAATTTAGGAACCTACAAGAGGTTTCTAAATTTCGGAACAGCAGTATGCCTATGTATTAAATTAACATAAATGATTTCATAGCCACTTGTGGACTAAAAAAAATTCTGACTATATATATATTTCAATTCCTGATATCTTAATCTATATATAAAATGACATGCTGTCTGTTTGTATACTTCCTACACATTTCAAAACACCGACCTTTCCAAATTTTTTATAGTTATTCTAGGATCCTACATAGGCTACAGCTGTAAATTTGCAATCAATAAAAAAATAATTTTTATTAATTTATTACACTTTAATTTACTGCATTATTTTAATTAAAATAATTTCCTGCATCACGAAGTATATTCGAAATTTTAATCTTTGCAGCTTCGCCATGAAGCACAGTTACGTAGGAAATGCATTATCAACTACGTTCTACAAAATTGGATACAGCATCGGCTATCGTCCTCAAGTGTACATTGCAATAATGTTCCTCATAACATTTATTCTAGGAATTGGATTTATAAACATTTCTTTGGTAAAGGATCTAGAATATCTGTTTTCTACTTCCGTTTCTAAAAGCAAAACGGAAAGAGATTTCATAGAGCGCGTGTTCCCGAACGAAATAACCACAGGTGACGAATACATGAAGCTCACGCAATTGGGTAAATATTGTGCATTTATGGCATTACCTAAGGGTAACGTCAGCATGTTGGACGAACGAGCCATAGATGACGTGTTAAAAATAGACAGCATCACGCGTAACATCACTTTCTTTTGGAACAATACCTTCGTCGGATATAAAGATCTTTTTCCTAAAGCCAGTGATAAATACGCGCGTAACATTCTTCTATTTTTGAAGAGAAATGTCAAAGGAATTAAACAACGAACGGTCTCCTTCAAGTAAGTTATTAAATATAATTACATTATTAATCTATCGTTACGAAAGGAATCATAAAATTAAAAAACAATTAACTTGGTGTATTTCAATTGTTTTCGAACAATTGAGTGGTACCCCAATTCAGTAATTTTCTATTGCGGTACTCCTACTTCTTTTGGAACTCTTTCCTCCCCGTGGCCACTGAGAGGACTTTTTTTTAGAAAGGCCATGTTTTTACAGAAGCCATTTTATGTTTTCGATCACGCCCACATTTAGGGCCCGACGTATCCGGACGGACCACTCCCGAAAAATTCCTGGGGTTTTCTCGACCCGTAGGCCGACACCTTTTCCGCTGGTCTTCTTTATACACTTTAAGCCTGTATACGTATTAATTAGTTTAAATTGTATACGGTGTCTTCAGAAAAATGGTCACAAAGATATTAAAATTAAAAAAAAATAAACTGTTTTTGTAAAATTATGGTTAAAAATTTTAAGTTATTTACAATTTTCAAATTATTTTTCTAAAGGTACCCCATGGATATAATACAATTCAATTTCATGGCGTTTGCAATAAATCTCGGAGGTGTCAAGGTAAACGAGTCCGGATATTTGGAGGATTTCAGCGCGATCCGTGTACTCTATTTGATTAACAGCAGAACAAAGGAAAAGAAGGAATTGGCATTGAAATTTGAAGATTACTTTAAAGAAATTATATCGAAAGTCACTTTAGAAAACATTAACATTCATTTGGTTACTTCGCAACTCATCGACGACGATGCCAACGATAATTCTAGATTAAGTTTATCTCTACTTTATATTTACTGCCCCTCGACGATATTATTTATAACATTGTCATGCATTTCATCGGATGCCGTATCAAGTAAACCATTAGCAGGTTTAGGAGGATATTTGAGCGCAGCACTTTCAGCAGGGTCAGCTTTTGGTTTGCTCCTGTGGTGCAAAGTGGAATACATCGACATAAATCTATGCGTTGTATTTATAGTATTAGGTATATTTTAAAATATTTTCCACATATAAGTGCTTTTTTAAAATAAATTTCATTAATAAATTAAACTTTTAAAGGTATAGGATTAGACGATTGCTTCGTCTTGATCGCTTCTTGGAAGAAAACAAACGTTAAAGATCCCGTAGAGAAAAGAATGGCCGAAACGTATTCGGACGCTGCAGTTTCAATCACTATCACTTCGTTAACTAATATCGTATCGTTTGGAATTGGAATCACTACGTCATATAGAATAATTCAAATATTCTGTTTGTATAGTTCGGTGTGTCTGTTATTCGATTATATATATCAAATATTCTTATTTGGAGGATTTCTGGCTTTGGATGGATACAGAGAAAAATACAGTTTGCATTGTTTGTTTTTAATACCCGTTAAACCGAAAATATCAGGTATGTAGACGTTTTTTTAGCTAAAATTTCACTTAGTATAAAAATACCGCCATCTCTTGTTAAATATAACAACTATAAATAGATAAATTAAAATTAATTTTACGATATTCTGTAAGAAATATTTGGAAATGAAAATGAAACTGTATTAAAAGAGTTTCGATTACTTTTAAATATTTAGTTTGGCCTAGGGGCAACGCAACTTGAGAATAATCCGCCAAGAGTGTGGACCTCCTAGCAAACTTTTCTACGGGTGAAAGACAATGAAAAATACCCGGGATTATCGCGAACATCCCGTATGTTAAACGTAAACCCAGGATCAACTCGCCTTCGTATTCAGACATTTATCATTTTTGGTATTAGGGTTTAACCAAGAAAAGTTTTTGGTCCTCTTTCTTGTCATTTATCTTTTCCTTCGTTGTTGTTGGTTAAGTTATCGCAACGCGACGCTTGAGCGATGCCTTCCGGGAGGTCTTTTTAAGGGAAACTGGCCTGCATTGAGACATTACAGACGTGGATAAAACCCAGAAAACTCCACTTGGCCAGCCCGTCCAGGCGAGGCGCGAACACATGACCGAACTCCCAGTTTCCAAGGTACGAAGACCACTTTGCCACTGGTGGGCGCTATTCCCTTCGTAATTAATCTAGTGAAAGTGTACTTGAATCTTCTGTAAATATAACCAGCATAGTTAATCATAGTTGAACAAGCCCAATGATTTGACGGTCGGATGGCCGTGCCGTGCGGTTGGAGTGGCAGGGGCACCCGTGATCGAATCCGCTCTGGGGCACCCGCGGATCGAATCCGGTGGATCGAAAAACCTCGTAAATTTTTCGGGAGTGGTCCGTCCGGCTATGTCGGGTTTCTTACCGCCCGGCAGCCATGTTGCAGGTTCTGACTGAGCCCATAATGGCTTGTTAAAAAAAAGGCCATGCCCACAGAGCAAGCAGAGTCATTTGTATTCGTGTGTTCTGTCTGTTATAATTTCAGCATTTTTAAGAACAGCCATGTAAAAAACAATATGATAAATGAATAAAAGTGACGTAACCTATAAACATTAACGTTATAATTGCTTAATCGACATAAATATACAAAATATAACACTAATTTTAACACTTTAATGTTTTTCTTTTTCAGGAAATGAAAATTTCGATGGACACGAAGATGAGAAAACAAGCAGTGATACGGTCATGAAACTTTTTAGGGACATCTTCGGAACATATCTTGGAAAGTGGCCTGTTAAAGCAATTTTTATCACTATATTCATCATTTACGCTGCAGTTTCTATGTATTTTATGAGCCAAATTAAGGAATCTTTACAACTGCAAAATGTTTTCCCGAAAGCTTCCAAATCTTTTTCTTACTTGAGAATCCATTATAAATATTTTAGCGATTATCCACACGTCATACAAGTCGTGTTTAATCAAACTTTGGACTACTCTAATCTAACAGTACAAGAAAATATTGAGAAAATTCTGTCGGATTTCGAATCTTCCGAGTACATATCGGACTCTTCGAATACAATATGCTGGTTCAGGGAATATCATCGGTTCATCAGAACGTCTTCACTGAGATACCTTATCGAAAACTACAACATAAACAATTCCGTGGATTACATAAACGGGTTGAACAACGTGTTCTTAAAAATTAAATCGTATCGGGTATTTAGGAATGACATTGTATTTAACGATAAAAACAATAAAATAGTTGCCTCCCGGTGTTTCCTGGTAAGCCAAAACGTAAGAAACTCTAACGCAGAGAAGTCCATGTTAGAAGGTTTAAGAGAAATTGAGAATAAGGTACCATATTCTGTATTCGCACACAATATGTGGTTCCCGTTCTACGAGCAATATTTGGGCATGCCAATCTTTTGCGTGAAAAACGTAGGCATCACTGCTCTAACCGTTACATTTATATTTTTCATATTTATACCGGATTTAATCTGCACCTGTATTGCTGCAATAACACTAATCAGTATACAAATAACCACAATAGGGTTTATGAGCTTTTGGAATGTCAGTTTCGATGTTATATCAATTATTATCCTAGCTATGAGTATTGGAATATGCATTGACTATACAGCGCACGTAATGTACGCTTACAAAAAAGCCAAAAAGTTAAACCCCAGTGATAATATTAAAGCTACATTGCATAGTGTTGGATACGCCATCATTCAAGGGTTTCTGTCGACGATTATTGGTGTTTCGATATTATATTTTGGGCCTTCTTATACATTTGTAGTGTTCTTTAAAGTGGTGTTTCTAGTTATGATTTTTTCGCTTTATCACGGTTTGATTTTAATACCCATTATCCTTAGCATTGAAGAATCATTACGTTCTTACTGGAAGCGTAGAAATTAGGTGCATAAGATAATTAAAAATCTGTGGGCCAATGGCCATAGGTTACTAGCCTAGTTACTAGTCTTTGTCGAACATCGTTGAATGTATACGAGCGAAGGACCGATATAATTTTCACATTCGTGACACATAACTTCCAATAGGCTAGTCTATCCACCTTTATTATCATTAATCATTTGTGATCTGCCCTAAAGTATAGAGCAAATTCGGAACTTCAGGGTGACTTTCGCCGAGACTTGAAACAGTGAGTTAAAGTGTTCTTGCTGGAAGCTAAACATTTTGCAAAGTTAAATATTTATTTTATACTCGTTTACTAAAATTAAATTTCTAATTTCAAAAGTTAGATGTATATGTGTTATATAATATAGTATTGTATAATACAGTATAACCTCCAATTTTGGGAACGAAATTACCTTCAAACAAAGGCCATTTTTTATGTTCCCATCAGTAGCCTTTTACTTTAATTTACAGCAATAAATTTGCAGATATTTTCATTTATACTGGGTTTGTTTTGAAGAAAATCGTTGTACAGTCACTGTTGTAAATACACAGTTTCACGATTGCATTTTCTCTTTTTATTTTTTTTTAACAAATAAAAAATGTAAAATATTTCTTTATTACTAGAAAGTCTTAAAGACTTTATTTCCTGTTAGTAAAAGTAACATTGATTTACAGGGGAACTAGGAAGTCACTAGGAACCTCAAAATTTTTTCGCACCCGAGAAAAATCCCCGACTTCCCCAAGAGCCCTACATATTGCTACACGTTTTGATACGTGAATGTATTGTAAAAGGTTCTGCAATCATTCCTTCAGTTAACTAAATTCTGTATGTTTGTTCGCATGTTATTTAACGTATATATTTGGATTAATATTAAAATTATTTATATGTAATTATTTTTTTCTCTCCGTGCTGCAATTGTTTCGAGTTTATTAAGGAAAAGAAGAATTCAAGATTACAGAACTTGTAGTGTTGAATTCTTCTTTTCGTATAGAAATACAGTTGTAAAGAACGTGTATAAAATAAAATGTATCAATTTTTCTGCACAGTTTTTCAGTTTTAATTCATAAAATAAATATTTTAATTCATCATTAAATCACTTTATTTATGGGCATCAAAATTTATTTAGCTGTTATTTTTCGATCCAATTAACTTACGTGAGGTATGAATGATCAATCACATAAATAGCATCAATGTAGAAAAGGCCTACTTACCATAATTCTATTTATTTATTTATTTATTTATGTGACGTTCCGCCTTGTGGAAACTAAGAGGGCCTTTAGTTGTAATCGTGCCCATTAGGGTAAACAATGGAGATAGCCGAATTTTCTAAGGCCCACCAGTGGCCGAGTAGATAAAACCATTTGTAGTTTAGGGCCTCTCCAAAGGGAGTTTTCTGGATTTATTCCTTGTAATATTTAAATAGGGGCAAGTTTCTTATGGAAAACCTCTTGCTAGGCATTCCATCCTCGGCATATTGTCCACGTGTCAGTAACCGAATAAACCAAACAATTGGTTAAACAAATAACTGGTAATTTAATAAAAACTAGATTAATTAGAAATGCTCACTTGTTTTCCTGATTAGATAAAGCCCACTTAATGTTGGGTAACAACCAATTTTTACAACAATCTACCGATTTCTGGTTTAGAATCTTAATGACAATAGCTACGAGAAGAACGTAATTGGGCATGTTATCGCTTCTAAAATTAATTTAAGTGCAATTAAACAGTAAAATAGATTCAAGAGGACTAATCTACATCAAATCAACTTCAAAATCACGTATAAAAGGTAGCTGTAATTCATACGAAACGAATTAGAAATCGATTTTGCCTTAGTATATTCTGTATATACTGTTTAGAGACAGATTTTCTGTTGAGAATCTAAAAAATATATATATTTTAAAATAAATCCAAATAAATCTTGAACATTTAACGTAGTAAAATATTCTTGAGATCTCTAAAAAGAGTTATTAATAACATATAGATTAGTTTAGTTTGATGAAATACACAACACAACACATGGATGATATTCCAAATCATGAAGATTTTCTATGCGAAACTAGCCTTTATCTAAGTGAAGAAAACACCGAAAAATCGATGGTAAGGCAGTAGCAACAGGCCTGTATTTAAGTGTAGAAAGGTGAAAAAACCTGAAAAACTCTACGTAGTCAGCACGTTGGTCGGCACGAACCCGCAACCAACTGCAAGTATATGTTTGTCTATTGGACCAGTGTTACACTCTAACAGAAAAGAATATATTATATACAACATAAAAATTAAAAGGAAATCTATTTAAGAAAGTAATTCTGCATTTTACATAATAATAAAGAGCTGAGTCTTATTTAATGAATTCAAAGTTACACACGAAACCTTGTCATGTATTATCGACTAAACAAATATATAGAACAAAGCGTATCCTTGAAACGTAATTAGTTATTTAAGATTCTTCCTCATAACGCCAATTAAACTAAACAGAAAATTATAGAAATCTGTTTTAAAATATCTCGAGATTTCATGAATATGTATGAAATGATACGTTGTCAGAAATGAGAACTTAAACATAGTATTTCAGAATTATTCATCTAATTTCTGTTATTATAAAATATTTATTTGCTAATTAACAATATCCATTGTCGATATGACTCGAAGGCATTTATTATAAGTATCCAAATTGAAATACTTAGAAGTGATTTTACAATTCGAAGAACGATCAAACAGATGTATTGTGAATAAAACATTCCATAAAACTTTATGACAGGTGAAAGACGTGTTAGAAAGTGGACAGAGCAATTACTGTCAACAATGACAATTCGTTCGATAAAGGAACTTTTGCGTCATACAAAAAAACCAACTTCTACGTCACTGAATGCAAATATAATTGTGACGTAGATTCGAAATTATTTTTTATAATTATATGTATATAAATATATATAATTGAAATTTTTAACGTTTGCCTCGTTAATCATATCGTCATTCATCTTTCCTCGTTGAATCTTTACATAATTCCGTATAAAAATAAAAATTTCTGCGTGTGGAAGAGTAGAAAATTCATTTCTAAAACAACTGTACAAATATTACAAATATTTCATAGAAAATTTGTTATATATCAATGTATTTCCGTCGTTAAACGAGCACTGTAAAGAGTAATTAGATCAATATTTTAATATCTAAACATACGGGGCTGGACTTACACTTGTTGTGACCCTAGGCTATAAAGGTCCTTTACTTCTACTGAATGATGTTACATGTAAAAATGTGAGGCCCTAAGCCAACACTTTTTGCCCCCGGGCCGAATTGAAAAGAAAACTTTTTTCACGGGCCGAACGAGAGGCTTCCCTAGGAAGATTTTGAGGTGGTGCGAGATCTCATTATGGTGTCACCCAGTAGAGACTAAATTGTACATAGAGATTACAGATACATTTTTCACATTATCATGCTTTATCAACGTTCTACACGGTACTTAAGAGATTTGTAATGGAGGGTTAACTCTAACTGGACAGCGAAATGTTGACCTTGTTTTTTTTTAGGCGTTAGAACTTTCACCGATCTAATCTTACATGAATAGCTAATCGCGGACCACATAAATCCATTACGCGGGCCACATCCGGCCCGCGGGCCGTATGTTGGCCATTCCTAAGCGACAGACTCATAACAGGAGACTCTAATAGTTACAGACTCATAACACTAGGTCCTAAGCTGCAACTTATTCAACTTATGTGCAAATCAGGGCCCTGTAAACATAGAAAAGGTACAGGCGATTATGAATTTTTCATCGTCTTGTACCTTTTCTATAGGTCACATATTAACCTTACAGGTCCTCCCTCGTTAATATTGATACCTGTATATTTTTATATTGAACTGGCAACCGGAAGCAGAATTTACAAATCGTAGGAAGTTTTAAATTTCCAAAATAAACACATAAATCGGATGAAAACGAAGCATGAAACTTGCTTCCCCGCTTCATTTCCTTACGAAAATCTCACGTTTTTAATGTAAAATTTATAAATTGTAATAATTTACTAAATAAGGCGCTAAATGGCTTCAGTAATAACTTAATAAATACTTAAATACGAAGCTTAGTGCTGTAAAAATCGACGTATAATACTTCAATTAAGTAGAAAAACAAATAAAATCTGCTATTTATACAAAGGTATTTATAATGTCAGTTCAGACGAAGATGTATGTGAAGTGAATTAGCAATTGTCACGTGACTGTATCATGTGATAAGGGCCAAGGTAGCTTCATTCAAAAACGTTGTCACTCAAATTTATTGGCTGACGTTCTTACGACTACGCTTTTTTTTTTTAATTTTTATTCTTTCATAAATATGCATAATTATAAATGAGGGTCATTTAAACTTTCCTCTTGTCTACTTCGCAGTTGCAGCTTAGAGTTTATTAAATTGAAATTTTTCAGGTAAGAAAACTACTTTTATAATTATTTTATCTGCTTAAACATTAAATTATTTATTCCTTTTAATATTTAAATTATCGTAAAATTATTTCGGGAGATTCCATTCAGGTCTGTTTTCTTAGCCTGTTTTACCTGCGAGTTAATCGAACTACGGCTTAGTGCCTCGTTCTATTCTTAATGACAGTTTATATATTATATATATAGACGGTTATTTAAATATTCACTTTAAATATATAATATACATATATATNACGAGGCCCGACTCATTATTTTATGAAGCTTCTTATACGTTGTAGCGCAAGACCATGGTATATTTAAATCCTATCTGCCTGTTTTAATAAGTTTCTTTCGTTATTTTATAGAATATAATTTTAATAATATTTAATTTTTAAAGAATTTCAACTTTCTATTCGGATGATAAGCTAATTTCCTAAAGAAGTGTTTCTTAGAGTGTGGTACGCGTACTCCCGAGCGTACGCGTAACACAGCATCATTATTTAAAAAAATAAATAAATACTGTAATAACGAATTGCACGTGTATATTTTATAGTAAATTATATATTTCGTATGAATTCTCCTACTCGAGTTGTGATAAGTGCCGCATTCGGGTGGTTTGAAAGTAAATATTTTTTTGGACAAGGGTATGTCTAAACTTTGAAAAACACTGATCTAGAGTAATCTTCCATCATTCTTTTATATATCTTATATATTTATTCATACTACTTTATATTAATATAAAATATGGCTAAGGCATAGTAGTTAAGGCATTAGTCTACTGCTCAGGGAGACTCGGAATTGAATTCAAGCAGTCGATATACTCCAGAAATCTTTTGGGAGTGGTCTGTGCCAATACAACGGTCCCTATTGCGGACCCAGAAAAAACTACGATAGGCTTTTTTTTCTGGTCAGAAAAAAAAAGCCTACCGTAGTTTTTTCTGGATTTGGCTAGAATCACAATGGGCAGCTTTGGGTTTGGCACTGCGGTTCACAGGGCAGCTGTGGGTTTGACAATAAGAGGCTTACAGGGCAACTACGGGTTCCTTACTGTCCACAGGACAAAAAGAGTCCAAAAAATATAGAATAGGTTACTACCTTCGAATTTTCAAAGTATTAACCTATTCTCTAAAAGTTATCTACAAATAAATTTTAATGTACCTAATTTGAATGAGTTTTAATAATTTACATTTCTTTCTTACAGGCTGTACGAACAATAATAATGATAATACTTCAATCTTCGTACACAATCTATGTAGCCTTATTAAGTCTTACTTTAAAATTAGCGTCTATAAAATCGTATCAAATTAATTAAGTGTAATATCTTAAATGAATTAATTTGCAATTACATTTAAAACGCTGTTAGCATTTTAAATTTAATATTTTAACGTATTTTTTTTTTTTTATTTTACAGAAATAAAATGAAACACGATTACATCAAACGACTGCTTTCATTCGTATTTTCACGTATAGGATACCATATTGGGTGCCACCCTCTTTGGTACTTGTTTGTACCATTTTTTATAACGACCCTTTTAGCAACAGGGTTTTATAAAATTACATTAGTCAACGACATCGAGTATCTGTACAGTCCCATCAATGCCAGAGGGAGAACGGAAAGACATACGCTAGAAACTCTCTTCCCTCCCAATATATCCCAAGATTTTGATTTCTTCAGGATATCCAAAGCGGGAAGATTGGGTTCTGTTATAGTCGTACCTAAGAAAGATTCTTCTATGCTAAATGAATTGATCATCGACGATTTAATACGATTAGATCACATGATACAAAATATAAGTATATTCTGGAACAATAGCTCATTCACGTACAAAGAATTGTGTTGTAAAACCATAAAAAATGAATGCTATCCAAATTTCGTATTGTCCTTCAAAGGAAAAACCGAAGAAATTAAAGCAGGAAAATTTGCCATTCGGTAAGATCTGATATCATTGTTATTATTTAAATTAATCACAAATACAAAAAACGTCTTTAAAGTGGTTCCTGGAGCGGAGCAGATAATAGTGACGTGTTACGATATAATGCAATTCATTCAATGGCGCTTTATAACTTTATGGGACCCGGGAAATTTGAATTTGGGGGACCATGTACAGTGTTGACTTCGAAAGTTTCTCTTCGTGGGAATTTTTTGGGAGAATATCTCGGTATCCTCGTTCGTTTTCATAACGCGACCTCCGTTTTGTGCTGCCTGTGCCACACCGGAAATCTAGGGTCTCTAGATATGACGCCAACCTTAAATTTCAATATTCTTACTACGGCAATGAGTTTATAAAAGATTGGTTTGGGACTCTGTTAGTGGGAGCCCCAGGCAATTGCCGTTTTCCCATAGGATAACAGACCAATGAATTAATTTAGTGTTTTTCAAAATAATACACTTCAACTTTCGGTTTCTTAGCAATTTTTTCCCAAACCCGGAAAAAATTAAAAAAAACCCCTTTAATCAAAAACCCAAAAATTCCTTCCAATCCGTTTGGTTCAAGTTGCCGGGAAAAAAACAAACAAAAACGGGGCCAAGGGCCAAAGAAGGGAGCCCCCCCGGAAATTTTCTATGGGAAATTGGTCCTTATTTAAGGGTTTTGTGCGTGAAGAAAACACGGAAAACTTTGCAAGGCCATGTCATTAGTCAACTCGGCCACGATTCATTTTGTGAGTTTTTTTGAGTCAAATCGTTTTTTTAAAGTATTTTCGATTTTTGGGTAAAGAAAAAGCTTTTGCTTTTGATTTAGATCTGAAAAACAGATCTAATGCAGAAGTACCCTAAAAAGGGCTAGCTCAAAAATTATAAATATTTGAATAAGCACGACGATTGCATTGCTCGTGGTCCGATAAACCATATTTGCTATCATAAATGTTTTTAAAACAACGTTTTGAAGTTCGAACAAATAACTTTTTTATGTCAATGGGAGGGCAAAAAGAGGAGTATTTCCTAATCCATTCTTCGATAATGATATTCGTGACAAGAGAATTTGACAATCTGTAAAAAAAGTGAAACTACTCAGTGATGGATACAATGGGAATCCTGTACCCGTCCCATTGTATCTACCACTGACAGTAATCTCACGCTTTTCTGCAGATTACCAAGTTATCTTATCGCGAATATCATTATTAAAGAATGGATTAATAAATACTTTTCTTTCTGCTGTGGGATTCCTTAAATCAGCACCATTACGTAGACAGTCTTTAGACGATAAGTAATGATTGTAGTGATTTCTTCGTTTCGATGTCGTGTACTACATTGGAACTTCCGTTGTAGCAATTCGTCCAAATTTGAATCGCTTATGAACTTACATGTAATAGTCAATTATTTCAAATATTACATACGTAAATGCATATTAAAGAATTTAATAATGAATTTATAATTAACTGTCTACATTGTCATTTTTATTTAACACGCTATACATTGTCAAGGAAAATAAATTTTCCTTGATCTATAAAACATTACGTATTCAAAATATTGGCAGGTTATGTACTGTATATGGAACCTATTATGTAGGCATGCATAAATTTATCGTTATGAAATTCTCTCGTATAATAATTAAATAACTATTCACTCTTTAATTAATGATAAACAGTTGAGTTAGTTTGTTGATGTTACTCAATCGACCAACCAACTGAACAAGGCAACGCAACACGTGGGCGATCTGCCTCCCCGGGAGATTTTCTATGGAAATTGGTTCCAATTCAGGTGTTAGACACATGAAGAAAATGCGGAAAACTACACATGGTCATCCGATTGGTAAAGGCGTGAACCCACGACTAACTACGAGTGGTCGGTGGCTTTATCCACTCCGACATTGGAAAACGATAGACGGTTTACTTGAAATTAATAATGTTCATGATATGAAATCTAAACAGTATTTATTTCCATTTACAGATATCCATTTGATAAAAATAATGGCGATCCAATAACATCAGCCATGATATTGGGAGGCGTTCGTGTAAACGAAGCAAACAACATAATAGACTTTAAAGCAGTCCGATTGCTCTACATGTTGGACTATAGTACAAAAGTAAAGGACGAAATGGCATCGAAGTGGGAAGAAACATTTCTGGAAAGTTTATCAAATGTCCAATTCGAAACCATAGAAATTTATAAATTCATTGGCAAAAGTTTCGATTACGAAGTGAATACAATAAGCAAAATGGTTTTACCTCTTCTGTTTATCGCAGCCCCGCTTATACTAATATTCGCTGCTGTATCATGCCTGACTTTCGATGTTGTCACTAGTAAACCGTGGTTAGGCATTATGGGATGTCTATCACCAGTCGTCTCGACAGTAGCTGCATTTGGTCTTCTACTCCATTGCAATGCGGAATATGTAGATTTAAACTTGGGCATTCTGTTTCTAATGTTAGGTAACGATCCTCGCATTTAAAGCGTGGGATAATTGAGTTACAGTTATGCTAATTTACAAAACATTTCTTTTAGGTGTTGGCATCGATGATTCTTTTGTGCTGTTAGCTTCCTGGAGGCGCACGAGTAGAAAAGATGATGTGAAGCATAGAATGAGTGAAGCGTATTCCGAAGCTGCTGTGTCCATAACCGTCACTTCTTTGACCAACTTCCTATCGTTTTGTATAGGACTTACTACTCCGTACAGGGTTATTCAAATATTCAGCCTGTACAGCGCAGTATCCGTATTATTTGATTTCTTTTATCAAATATTTTTCTTCGGGAGTTTTATGGCACTAGAAGGTTTCAGAGAAGAAAAGCAATTACATTCTGTTCTATGTCTACGTGTCAAATCAGGTAAGAACTGTCCTTCAATAATAAAATTCACAATTTTATATTCTGTTAATAATTTCTAATAATTATAGTGAAGGAAGCCGAATTATCAGAGAATACAAGAAGGGACGATACATTTATGATGAAATTTTTCCGCGATATTCTCGGCACATTTCTTCAAAATAATTTCGTCAAGTTTTTGGTCATCGTGGTATTCGTTCTGTACCTAAGCCTGGGAATATATTGCACAAAATGGATAAAGGAAGGATTCGATTACGTGAACATCCTGCCAACATCATCATATCTTCTTAAGTACATGGTAGCGCACTATGAATATTTCACCGATTACCCCCAAAGAATACACCTGATCATAAACAAGCCTTTAGACTACTCTGATCCAAATGTGCAAAACGACTTGGAAAATATCCTCCATAACTTTGAAACGGCGCCATTTATGGCAGATTCGTCAACTACGGAATGCTGGCTGAGAGAATATATCGCTTTTATCAAAGAACCGATATCAAAATTTTCATTGTCCGGTTACAATTTAAGCAATTCTGAAGATTTTCTGGAAGGTTTCAAGAACGTATTCCTGAAATTCAAAAGCGCTCACAGATTTAGGAAGGACGTTCTGTTCAACGAAGACGGCACCCAAATTGTGGCAGCGAGATTCCTAATACAGAGTCATAATGTAAGAAATGCGACCGCGGAAAGACTTCTACTGCTAAACGTGCGAAGAATTGCCGACAGCAGCAAATATCCGGTAACTGTTTACAATTTCTGGTTTATCATATTCGACCAATACTTGGATCTCTTATCAACGTGTATTCAAACAATATGCGTGGCAGCTTTAATGATAACCATACTATTTCTGGTATTCATCCCTAATATAGTCTGCGTGGCATGCGTTACTTTAACTGTTATATCTATACAAATAGGTGTAATAGGTTATATTTCTCTATGGAGCGTTAATATCGATATAGTATCCATGATAGTTTTAGTCCTGTGTACAGGTTTCTGTGTCGATTATTCGGCTCATATATCATACTCTTACATGTGCTCCGAATCCACAGAACCGAATGATAAACTAAAAAGTTCCCTTTATGCAGCCGGTTATCCGATTTTGCAGGGTTGTTGCTCCACTGTACTCGGCGTAGCTGTTTTATATTTTGCTCCCTCTTATTCTTTTGTTATATTTTTTAAAATCATTTTATTAGTGATGATTTTTTCGTGTTTTCATGGGTTAATTTTGTTGCCGGTTATTCTCAGTATCGGTGACTCTTTATTCATATATTGGAAAAAGAATTTTAGCAAAACTACTGTTAATAATCGTAAAAAGTATTCGCTGGTAGAAGAAATTCATTTACCCGAAGAAACATTAACATCCTTAGAAGACAGATAGATCCATTTTATCGATATAACTATGTAAAACTAACCCCGAAAAAGTACAATTATTGATAAAAATATGAAAATTTAATAGGGATATTTTATAAAAAGAGCATTTTGAAATAATTAATTCTTCGTTTACCTTATTTAATTATCATATTTTACTAAGTAACAATGGAAATTTAAGATTTAATTTATATATAGCCCTAACCTATTGACTCAATAATAGAATTCCTGTTATCTGTTTTCTATACGCTTAAACCTGCACTAAATTTCACATACCTATTCTTTAAAACCCTACGGAAAATGCTTTCTCGTACTTACTCTTTAGGATCATGCGGAAATTATAAGTTGGACATCCAATTCTTCCCCTGATTTCATCCGCTTGACACTTCGTGATGAACATGACAATAGTTTGTCCTTAATTAGGCAAAGATTGCTCACATAAAATGCAGTAAACTTAAATTATCACATAGTGTGAGGGTGGAATGCCCAAGTGTTATGGTAAGCCATACTTACGGCGGGGTCGTAGAGAGTAAATATGAAAATTTTGGTGGAGATCCATGTTTTAATGTTTGTTCTTATTACTTTGCGCCCGGGCACGATGGGCACAAATAAATCATTAAAAAAAAAGCCAACCATGCATTGTAACTAACTAAACACTTGATGCATTTTCAGCACTTTTATTGTTTATTAATTAAGTTAATAATAAAAATTGTTTAAACAACATAAAAATATTCCTTCTGATGTTTAATAATCTCATTAATGTCGTGTCTATTGCCAATATTGTTGATATTGTTATCGTGTGCAACGAACCGTGTAATTTACCATTTAGTTAATTACACGACTCACGGCGTATGTAATGATAGGCAATTCAACCAAACAACAATAGTCGAGACATTAATAAGTATATTAAGCTTCGGAAGAAATAAAAAGTATTATCTTAATTTAAAATTTTTCTTAAATTAAAAATTTTATCTATAAATTGCTGAAATATGACGTTTTACTACCGAAATCAACGCTAATAAACACGGAAATAAGTGTTTTCTCTTCGTTGTCTTTTACTAAAAATTAGTTTTTAAAAATATTCCGTAATAAAATAATTCAGATAAAATTGTAAGTTTTTTTTTTCTTTTCTAATTTTAATATGTTCCATATATACACAGTAAAACTAAGACCTGTGTAAACCGGAATCGCCGAATATTTCTTTCTGTTTAGGCAAGTTTCCGTTTTATTCGGGTTCCGTTTTGGACAGGTTTTACAATATTATCAAGTAACAAATTAAAATAATTTTTAATTTTAATGACGGCCATCACACCTTTAAACGCCCACCGTTTTTTTCAGGAACTTGTTTTAACAAAAATTCCTACCAAATAACCTCCGAATCACGGAAATTTTCCATGTTACCGTAGTGGCCGTATTCGGAGGTTCGACTGTCTTAATACAGTTTTATGAAGTATAAAATAGATATTTGTCTTAATACAGTTTCATGAAGCATGAAATAGATATTTTAATTTAAAAGTGACTAAATAACTTCACCAAACGAAATTTCTTTTCTTGAATATTATTTTACTGTAACATTAAATTGTAGAATACTGAATTTTCGATCTTTTATAAAATTTAAAAGCCACGCCGTGTTTCGAAAACGCACGTACCGATGTCGTCCGCCATATTGAAAGATCGACGCTGCTATTCGCGCCTGATATGTAATTTTATATAATTTTATACACTTAGAATCGATGATCAGTAACGTGAGGTTGCCGAAGGGGTGAAGGAATAAGGGGAACAATTTCGTAATCAAGTTTGGAAAAAGAAAATCTGTGATGTTTGTAGAGGTAAATCCAACTCCGTCCATAAAATTCGAGTTTTTAAATTCTCCGGTCTGACATTCATAAAATTCGGGATTCGGGATATTATTTTCACACGGGATTCGTGTTCGAATGTGTCTCACACGGGATTTACGTTAATTACATCTATAATAAAATACAGTATATTTTTAACGAATTTAGAGAGAGGTTCAGACTCGTTATAATAAAAGAGACATACATTAATTACTGTACAGTTCTTATGCCACTTTTAACCACCTACCTCTCTGTTGTGTACAGCCAAATACCACTTCCTTTTAATTACGTATACGTTATCATTGACCCCCTCGTTTCGAAAAAATGATTTAGGAAGTATTTACTGAACTTTTAACTGATAATATATTTAATATTCTAGTAAGTAACGCTTATAAGAACAAAGTCCATTTAGACAATGCTTCCCTCCCTCCTCATCGCGTAAGAGATGTACTTTTTGTGACTTCTTTCCCCTTAAATAGTTAATAAACAGTCTCCAGAAGGAAAAACTCAAACAAAATACACCAGTAAAATGTTAACGATGTTAGGATTTTAGTACGAATATAGTTAAAAATATAAATTAATTTATTAGATACAGATATGCAGGCAAATATCTTCGTGGTATTTAAAACTATTTTTACCTTTCCAACTGTTATGCAGCAACTCGAAATTAACCTTTTTTGTCATTTTATAATAATTAATTATATAAAATGTTTATTGAATAAAATATCGTATCGGATGGCCCCACACGCAGTTTTAATTGTGGCCGGGAAAGTTAAGCAACTCATTGCCGGATTTTTTTTTAAATTTTCGATAAGTATTTTACTATATTAAATATTTTATTGATTAATTTTTGTCAATCGTGATTGTATAGGCCTATGTAATGAATATAACCGCTCTCTCTCTCTCTCTGGATTGACAACATCACCTCTCCTGACCGTCAACATTTGTAAGTCGACGTTTAGGAGGGAATCGATTAATCCGGCGTCAGGATGACCTAAAAGAATGTTCGCATGTGGGTTTGGCGGAGGAGACAAATGATGACAAGTATCTTACAAAACCCGTTTATTTTAACAGGAAATAAACTTACACTATGAACAAATAGTTGCTTTAATTAAACAATTGATCGATCGGACTTCACTAACCGAGTGTGTCGTGTCCTTGAAGATCGGGGATTATATCAATCTCCGTTCTTCTATTTGTCCATTCTGATTACGGCTTCACGTTTTTTTTTTTTTTTTTTTTCACGCTCCCCGATTGTTCCCTCGTCTGTCCCTAAAGGCTGCTATACACCATGGGTTAATCCTCAAAGGATTAACCATGCATGCCTGATTTTGAGTCATTCCTGGATGTGTGGGGGGGAAAATTTAACAGTTTCGGCGAACTGTACCGACCACCTGAGTAGAATCGGCCATATTCTTTAGGTTAATTCTCAAAGGAATAATCATGCATGCCTGACCTTTATAATTCTTGGTAGTTTATGGGGTACTAAGCGAAAGACGAGACCTGTTCGGGTCGGAGAATTTACCCGACGCTATCCGTTAACTCTGGACGTAAGGTGTTGATGAAAGTTTGAAACTTGCGCTCATATTTTACCTCATTATTGTCTAGTTTATGACGTTTTAGCATTTTAACGACCTGACGCGATGTTCCTTTTTATCGTTAACCTTTCCCCTTTTCAAAATTTTTCTATGTTCTAATTGCTTGTATACGAGCGCCTTGTCAAAGGTCCATCTCTACTGGTGGACGTCCGTTTATATCTACTGCGTCGTGTTTGACATTAATTAATTAATTAATAGTATTTTTTTTTTTCGTTTCTGTTTCATTTGACTTGCACAACTGATCCGACCTTTACACATTGCCCGGGGCAACCGAACAGCGGAAGGATCCTTTTCTAAGCAATACTTTCTGTAAACCTTTTTAGTATTTTGTAATCGTTAAGTCAAATCAATTGTCAAAGATTTAATAAGCCTAAAAGAGCGAAATTTTAACAGGGAAGTTAAGGAATTTTTATCAAATTCCAACTTCTTGTCAGTTATGACACGTTTTCCTGAGATCATGACTCATGCAGGAAAGTGTTTAACACTTTAGACTGGACTGTTTGTCAGGACAGTTAACATTACCAAATTTCGTCGCGGTTCGACGTTTTTAACGATAAGATAACTAATATGAGAAGAGTTCGCTCGAGGAAGAAGAGGTTCTCCTCCCAAGAGTCTAAAGATCCTCACTTTTTCGTTTCCCAATTCTAAGTGATCGCCCCCGAAGATTTCCAAACAAATTAGCAGTGGAGTAGTCAAGCAGGTTTCTACACCTGGTTGTGGGGGTCAAAGGTCAAAAATTTTAAAATTTTTTTTTTGAATTAATTTTTCTCATTAGTTTTTCGATATAAAATTTTGTAAACTATTACGTCTGGTCGAGTAAAGTGTATTTTAATTGCTACAAAATTTATTTTTCACTTCATTTATTTTCTGTTATAGCTTTAGGCTACTTTCTGGCGATTGACCCCGTTGACTTTGGCAATAGCCACTCGACCCTGTCAGACGACTATAGTCGTCCGTCACTGCTAAGAAACAGCTACAGAACAGTTTATAAGAACTATATGAATTATAAGGAAACGATTACAAGGATTAACTTTTCAATCAAGCCAACGATTAAAAGAAGATCCGAACTCTTGTTAAGAAGATTGAGCCTAATCGACATTTTAAGAGGAAACTTCAGTCACGCGAATTAACTCGCGAAATTAGGCAAGGCCTTAGGGAATGGCTATCGATAGATCTGTCGGTTTATTATCAAGGATCAAGAGTTAAGTGTTACAGCTTAACCAATAAGCGTTTCGGTGGCGTGTTATTGTTTCATGAGGGCCCAGGCAAATATAAATTAGGGGATCCTATGTAAAGTGTTGATTTCAGACACTTTTTCTTTCAAGAGAGTGTTTTGTGGAAATACTTCCTTAGAAAGAAATTGGTTTGGGACTCCTGTTGTTGGGGGCCCCAGGCGATTGTTTTTTTTTGTTCACAGATTTACGCGCTAATGAAGCTATGATTCATTCGCCATTAGCAGCCGAATTGAAAACTTTTCTTGAGCCCATCAGTGGCCAGGCGGTCTTGGTACCCTGAACACTGGGAATTCGGTCGTGGGTTCGCGCCTCTCTCGGACGGGCTGGCCACTGGAGTTTTCGGGTTTTCTTAAATAGTGGCCAGTTACCTTGGAAAGGCTTCCCGGAGGCCATCTCCCTAGACCAGGGGTCGGCAACCTGCGGCTCGCGAGCCACATGCGGCTCTTTGGATGTGAAGCTGCGGCTCAGTGGCGTACCGTGGGTGTCATCCGCCCGGGGCGGAGGAAAATTTCGGCCCCCTTATTTAGGTATTTCAATTTAAAAGACCAAAATTCAGTTTTGTCACAGAACAAGCAATGAAAAATTCAGTGGTAGTGCAGCTACCTGTTTAAAATAGTTCTATTGGATATTAGTGGTGTATATGAACGCGAATGAATCGTACAAGCAAAAAAAAAAAAAAAGGTCAGCAGGTTTCGCAGGAATTCCTCGGACTTTGAAAAAGTTACTAGTTCACCCGGCGAGCCGATTCCCGGACTGTCTGGACGATAGCACTATCGTAGGCGCGATGCAAGTATAGATTAGGATGTTTCAAATTTTTACAAGATATTATTATTATTTATTGTGAAATTTTGCCGCCCCCTAAAAAGTGCCGCCCGGGCGCGGGCCGCCTCTGCCGCCCCCACTACGGTACGCCACTGCTGCGGCTCTTTAGTTTCATACGCAAATATTATTTATTTTATTAAAAAAAAAAACATTTAAAAATCGTTCTGAATCGATTAACGAGGATTCGGCACCGATTCTATCTCTCAGCCACTTGTACTCGCTTTTCATCCCACCCCTCCCACGTGACACGCGTCGTCACTGTCGTCAGTCCTTCGGAAGCTTTCGAATGACGCCGTCGTCGGATGTTTCTATGAGGTTTAATTCGCTTTCGACGCAAGACAATTCTGAATAAATAGATTAGTTTTTTTTTTATCAAAAAACTTTATTTATGCGAGTTGGCAAGAAAAAATTTTGTGGCTCTAAAAACTTTGAAATTTTGTAAATTGTAATTTTTGGCTCTTCCGACTCAAAAGGTTGCCGACCCCTGCCCTAGACAGATCGCCCAAGTGTTGCATTGCCATAACTTAACAAAACTTTTCTCGAGCGTGTACTTAAGCCTATACGAAACATTATAACCAAACTATTTGTTTTCTTCTTTTTAAAAAAA